GTGAGCAACACAGAGTATGTAGCTTCATATACTGCATTACTGTATAATGCATTGCTGGGATTTGTAGTCATCTATAGCTGATGGTATTCTGCGATGCTGTATAATCATAACCCGCCCCTGGCTTCCTGATTAGCATGGAGCCGACTTTCTGGCCAATCAGGAAGCTGGGCAGTGTGTACATGCCGCCCAGTTTCCTTAATGGGCTTCCAGTATCGGTAATGGCGAGTACAGAAAAAAAAATATTGGCAATCGTACTTGATACAGAAAAACTGGTATCTGTGCATCCTTACTTTAAATGTTTACTTACAGTGTTTTGCCTGTCCATAAATTACTTTGTATTCATTTGCAATGTACCTTTGAACTTGCTAGAATTTTTGACTACCCCTGGCAGAGTAAATGTAATTACTGTCTGTGTTAACCCAGCTCCTCAGTACCTCCCCTACATACTTTTTTTTTTGTAGCAGCTGGGGGAGGAGTCAAGGGGAATAATAACTAGTGTCACGTGAGTGATAGTTCTGAGTATGCTTGCATCACATCCAAGATGGTGGTACCCAGAAGCAGTCTAAGGGCTCAGGACATGTGTAGCTTCCCCCTGACCCCCAAAGGCAAGTGGTGGACCCCCGAGGCAGAAAGGGCTGGCATTTAACTCTCAGGGATGGATCCTTAGCTGGGTTGTGAGATGTGAACAGTAAATTGGGCGCCAGTCACTTTAAGTACTTTTTCTTAGAACAAGCCAAACTGGGAGAGAGGGTATAGAGCTACAGACATCCATGGTCAGACTATACTTCAGACTCACCAGTCCCTCCCACCTTCCACAGGGTAGGAATACTTTAGTTGAGCAGAGGAGGACACTGTGTAATAAAGCCACAGCTGAACAGAAGACATACATGAGACTTGTTCTTGCCGTCCATGCCACCTTGGCCTTCCTGGCACCTCCAGCAGACATATGGCTCCACTGGTTCTCCAAACCCCCCACATGGGTCCACATCTGGCCTCCTGCAGACTGCGTGCCTCGTTAGCTTTTTGATCTGTGTATACCCTACCCCGCTAGGTCCAGGGGCAGACTGACATGAGCACATAGCAATTCCTGAGTATTTATGCACTTCCCCAGCATACACAACTGACCATTAAACTCCTAGTGATTGGTTGAAGAGACATAACCACCCCCAATGTTCTCTCAGTGGCTGCCCCACTCCGTGGCGGGTTCACACCCCACTCACAGGTAGGTGCAGACAATAACAAAACATCTAGGAATGACCAAATTATCACAGATTACAAATCAGCCAGACTGATAACAATTCCAGCAACAATAAATTTGAAGAGCCACCCCCACTTAGGATGAAAGGGCTAAATTTGCATAAAATATGTTAAGTTAACATATACACTTATGGAAGGATTTGTGTAGAAATGAATGATCTGGCAAAATTTTAAGTACTACTTAAAACCACACACCTTGTTTATTTTCTCTCAGTAGTCTTGTTGCACCGTATGTTATAATTTAATTTCTTTAAAAAGAAAAAATGCTAAAAATGAGATTTTCTTCTTCTAAAAATGCACCCCTTGCCATTTCAATTCAGTGCTCTGTTGGCATACATACAATCACATTCCTCATCACAACAGTCCTTGTAAAGACTTATATTGATGAGGAAAAGGAGTGAAGGTCTGTGCACTACGCAGCATGGTCAAAGTCTGGTGCCCAATGGACAGCACGGACATATTTAGACAACACTGTGCATGTGAAAAATATTACAACAATGAATGTTAGTACTATATCTGTTTCTGAGACTACAGACATGGTTTACGGTGATCACTGTGTGCGCTTCAAAAGAGATGTTCATCAGAAATAACACTAAGAATAAAAACATATATCGGCTTTAATTAATCGTTGCCTACCTTGATTCGGCCAAATCCTCCTTTAATTGTGCCTCACATGCTCCCTCTCCCAGACACTGCAGCTCACAATGGAAGGGTTTTAGCTGCAGAGGCCGTGCTGCAACATCCACATCTCCTGTAACATCATCCCAAGTAGACACAGCCTGAGGGTGACAATGCTGCTCTGAACCCAAGAGCAGTGCAGCAGTGTTATTACCCCATCACAGGAAATTTCTTGGGGTGAAGTTCAATGGCAGGAACAAGAATTTGAGAGACTTTCCAGGAGGTGTAAGGGAAAACTTTGTGCAGATGCAAATTCTGCCGCACAAGCTATATTATTCCAGCGAAGAGCACAGAGGATGTGCACAGCGATCCAAATGAATGTTAAGGAGAACTATGAGGTGAGTGCTTTTCACTCACCTCATAGTTCTAGCCGACCTGTGACAATGAAACTGTCACAGGTCGGCTCAGTAGATCGGGAGGTGAGCGAACACATTTGTCGGGATCCGCTTCAGCTGCGGCGTCTCAGTATACCACGAGCTACAGCTCACGGTATACTGAGCCTAGGGTGACGGGAGGACGCTAGTTTGTGTCCTCCCGTTACCCTAAGGAGAACTATGGGGAAAAGCCTTAACCCCATAGTTCTCCTTTAAGGCTTGGATTTGGCACTATTAATCTTAGACTGGTGAAAGATTAAAAGAGGTTTGCTGAATTTGGCACATTGCTATATACACACACACAATCATAATTTTTTTTTTTAAACAAAGACAGGGTGGGTGCTCTGTGTAGTACTGATTTATTAAATGGTTTAAAAAAAAAGAGAAGCTACTCACAAACTTAGCAACATGTAAAGCTTGTCAAAAGATTCCAAGATAGAGTGATAGTCTGAATGAATAATCCAAACGAATGTCCGTAGTCCTCAGTCCGATAGACGCTGGCAACGGCTGTGGGTAGAGTGGTTGACGCGTTTCCTGGGGCATGCCCCTTTCATCAGAACCTCGTGAGCGGAGAACGCTAGCTAGCTCAGTGTGCCCCAGGAAACGCGTCAATCACTATGCCCACAGCCAATGCCGGCGTCTATCAACTCTGACTAAGGACGTTCGTTTGGATTATTCATTCAGACTATCACTCTATCTTGGACTCTTTTGACAAGCTTTACATGCCGCTACGTTTGGCTTCTCCTGTTTTTAAAACTATTTAATAAATCAGTACTACACAGGGTGGGCGCTCTGTCTTTGCTTTTTGAATGTTTGGACAAGAGCTTTTCAATCTGAGGAGGAGCAGCACCCCTGGGTCAGTCTAATTGACAAGTGGAATAATTGTTGGCTGGCTGTCAGCGCCAGAGGAACTTTGATAGATATATATATATACATACACACACACACACACACACACACACATTTATTTTATTTTTTTTGTATCAGGGCGAGTCATCACACAAAATTAGCAAAACAAATATTTTATTGTTTATATGTGGGGGGGAAAAAACCACGATAAAATTAGGCATTCCAGGTATTTAGAGGGCATAAACATCTTTATTTTATGTATTAGATTTTTATATATTAGATACATTAATAGTAAAAGAAAAAAAAATCTAATTGTGTTAAACCAATAAAAAGCAATGTTTAGTGCAGAAGTGGAAAAGATTTAAATACAGACAAAAAAATATATGTATACAATAAGGCTGGTCCCATCTTCGGCTTAACATGTTCCAGTTATTCCCTAATTCACAACAGCCATTATTTCTTTAAAATACTAATTCTTTTTTGTGAATTCCTTTAAAACATAGTTTCTATATACACTGATCTATTATAATAAAAAAATCTTGTAGGTTTTTGTTTTTTTTAACATCTACATAGAATAACAAACCATGCTGCCGCCTAGTGGTAGCAACTGGAATGGTGCAATCTTTGCACAAATAAAGAAGCTTGAGATGGTAAATTATACTATACAGTGTTTACCCCAGCTCAGATCTGAAGATATGTCTGTGAAGGTTCTCATTCATCCAGGTCATGATATATCTGTAAAAAATAAGACAACTAGACTTGCTGTAATTTTTCTTGAAGACGTTTCACTGGTCATCCAACCAGCTTTCTAAATTCAGAATGACTTGTACAAAAAAATTATCTGCAATTATGCAAATGCAATCAACACCTGGTTGCGACTAACAGATTATGTGGATTGGAGCAACATTCACCATATTTATTCCCAGATAATTTTTGTACAAGTCATTCTGAATTGAGAAAGCTGGTTGGTTGCCGTCTTCAAGAAAAATACAGCAATTCCAGTTGCCTTGACTTATTTTTTTACAGATGGATCTGAAGATAGTTTCTAAAGCAGAACTCCAGGCAAACAGCTAAATACAATGCCAAAGCATTTGTAATTCTGTTCAGCTATCCTTGTGATGCTTACACCCCTGCCAAGCGGTATACCAGGCAGGTGACACCCTTATTTTCTGGCTCAGGTTTGTGGGTTCCTATGTCACCTCACTGCACAAGGAATTATAATCTGTCCACTGATCAGGGAGGTGACCCAGGCTGCAGTAAAGCTGAACCAGGAAGTCATAAAGTGATCTCCCCAGATGGAGTGTAACACAAGTGTGTGAACAGAATTACAATTAGTTTGAAAGGAAAACTAGTTCACAGATCTGTATTTAAACTGTGCATTTAGCTTCTTACCTGGGAGTTGTTGTTTTTTAACAGTGTTTACTGCAAAGGCATCGAACAATCTACAGGCGTTATTGACAACATTTAAAAGCAAAGATGATCATAGCAACCACTCGGGTTTGTCTTTTTACCAGTTAAGAGTAGAGATGATTGCAGACTAGTTGCTATGATTTACTGCACTCAGCAGGTGGGTCTACCAAATCCCATTTGTGTGTGTTTTAAATACTGGGATAGAGATTAGTATGTACACTTTGCCTTTGTGTGCAATTGCAGGTTTGTGGAAATATACAGCATGTACTGTATTTAAAGAACATTATATTTAGGACTTCCAGACCACAATAAGGTGTTGCTCATTTTCTGTAGTCTCAGAAGACCTATTCTATTGTTTAAATTAAATATCTGATTTAGAAGAGTACACAAGGGACATATTCTACAGAACCAAGTACTGTATACATAATAACAACAGGGTGTAAAATACTCTAAAACTCTTCTCTAGATTGTCGAGTTCTCCAGCTCTCAGAAAGTTATGATTCTTCTTCACTCAGAGTTGTGGACTGGCTTTCTCTGAGATGGAGGTATGAGGTGAGGGGGTAGGTCGTTGGGCAACTCAAAGCCCTCCAGCTTAATTTTAATAAGATGCTTTGCCAAGGCGAATTCCTCTTCATCCAACATTCCGTCCTGATCATTATCAGCCAACTTCCAGATTTTTCCCAGAACGCTATTTGGCAATTTTGAGCTCACCATCTCTTTCTTGGCATTAATTCCGGAGACCTTCCCATTTATCGGTGAGAGGGTATAAAAGATTTCATCATAAACAGGTTTGTCTCTGGCCACCACCCATTCTTCTTCTCCAGCACCCTCACCAGCTCCTTCTCCATAACCTTGGTTAAAGGGACCTTCATTGGTGCCCTCAAAAGCTCCGCCATGCACCATCTGTGGTGGCATACTGCTCTCTTCCTCGCGAATCAGATTCATCAGTGGCGCTATTTTATTGGCTAGCATGTTGTCTACGGACTCAATTAACTTGGGCTTCATAGCGTGAAACTTCGAAAAGTCATACAACTCTAGTTGTTGCTGTGGATGATAAACAAATGACAGCATTGAAATATTTTTCCCCAAATCATTTAAAGATTTTTTAATCTAGGGTTCATACATGCAAGCATCATAAAGGAGACATTTGTAAAACAGAAATCCAAATACAGGCACAGCATTTTGCATGATAATCACTTGAAGCTCTGGCTTTTGAACAATATAAAATCACTGCTCAGATGTGTTCTTTCCTACAACAAAAACAGCCTTTTTGTTGTAGGAAAGTCTGGTGTTTGGCTGTTATCAAAAACCCTGCCCTGGTATCTTGGAAAAACGTTTGGTCAATAATCCCATCACAAAGATAGTAAAACAAAATGGGGGAGTGCCATCGGGTAATAAAGTTCTTTGCTATTAGAAGGTCACATGTTGTTTAACAGGACTGTGTCCTATTTTTTTTGACCATTAAAGAAGTCCTGGTGCTGGGGCATAGTCCACTCCTGCATGGAGCATGGAGCATACACCGCCTCAAGCTAATAGACAGTGGCCATGGAACATACTTTAAAAAAAGCATTTAAGAGATAGTCTTTGTTGTCTTGTCCTGTGTATTCTTCTGTGCTCAACATAATTAGCGTGTACCAAAACCCCTGGTAAGCAATTATTTAATGAGTTGAAGGGCAAGTGTTTTAAAGCTGAACACGCCACATAAAGTGCACAAACAAAAACTTCCTTGACCATCCCCAACTGAGCCAAATCCTCCTTCATTTGTGACTCACATGCTCCCCCTCCAAGACACTGCATCTCACAGTAAGAGGGTTGCAGAAACAGAGGCTGTGTGCTCAATTCAGAAATCAGTGGGTAGGACTAGGTGTGGTCAGGCTTCTGATTGAGAAGCTAAAGGGTTGTGAATCAACAGTGACAATACGGATGTCCACACCGCCTGGCCTGCAACATTATCATCCCACTGTAGCGCAAGTAGGCATAGCCTAAATGAGAGTGGAGACTCTGCATTGAATCAAAGTGCATTACAGCATAATTGTCACACCACCACAGGAAGCAGCATAAGATGTTCTTTGCATGTTGACCAACAGGTCTACCCTTGTGAAGTGCCAGTGCAGCAAGCAGCTGGCCACCTGCCTTCTCTCTAACTATTTACCAGAAATGTGCTGAGTCAAGTAGAGTACACACAAAATGTTCCTAAATTTGACACTTAAACCCTGATTACCATCAACAGAACTCTAGCGAAGAAAACGTAATTGTGTATACCCACCCTAACATTATGAATACATGGCCCAACTATTTGATTGATTGGCTCATTGTATGCCTAATCTGTTGAGAAGACCATGTATTGAAAGTAGTTCACTCCAGCTTGGATAACAAAGCCATGGACAGTAGATTTAACTACAAGATGACTGAATGTGAATAGGATCATCATAATTCTTTTGTCTCTAAGAAACTGAATATTCGTCTTAGGTTCAGAAGATACAGATTTATCCAGTTTAGTTATACCAATATATGATGAAACATGTTAAAAATCAAGCCTTTCGACAGCTCTATGGCACGTAAAGTGGAATGGCCATACAACCATAAGTATGCTCAGTTCACAATCTTTACCATGATCCGAGCTCTGCCATTTCTGCTCCAGCAACCCGCAATGCAATGAGAGCCACTGAGCAGCCGAAAGTACATTGTACTGTGAAATGCCAAGGTTTGAGCATGCCAGTTTCTAACTTAGTTCTTGTTTGTGGACTACTGAGAAGAACTGCCTACATCTAAAAGGCATGCACAGGTACTGTTTGTAGCACGCGTTTAGGGAAATATTGATTGGAAATAAAAACCATTTAGCATGGATTCAACATTCCAAGCTCCATTTAGCATTCAACTTTCCAAGCTCTCAGAGATTAAATGGGCCTTTTCTCTCCTTTGGTTACATTTAGGTCTGGCATAGCACAAAACTGCTACCTACCTGCATTCGTTTGACTTCAGGAAAGTCCCCGGGGGAAATCTGATGTTCTCTCTGAATTTCCGTAAAGATTTCAGGCAGTCTGGCAATAAGCTCCTTCTTCTTTGCATCTTTTCCAAACATGGCCGGCATCTCTTTCTTCAGGTGACTGATAATATAAGCATGTACCTTTTGGGGGGGAAAACAAAGTACAAAGAGTTAAAAAAAAAAACAGTTTTAACTTCGGAAAAACAGTTTCAACTTCGGAATTAAAAATAAAAATGCTTTTGTTTAAAAAAAAAAAAAAAAAAGTACCCAGTGGCTGCCAGTACAATATTATACAATTGTTCTAAAATGTTCATAAAGTAATACTAGTTTCTCTGCTAGAAAAACAGGCGATATACACTCCCGGCCAAAAATATTGGCACCCCTGCATTTCTGTCAGATAATGCACCACTTCGTGCAGAAAATTGTTGCAATTACAAATGTTTAGGCATTCTCAAGTTTATTTCTCTTGTTTGTATTGGTATGACACAAAATTAACAGCCTTTTGACAAAGCAAAATTACATCTTTTTGGTAAAGCCCATCATTCTACTGTTTCCAGAAAAAGAAATGAGGCCGGTAAAGAAAAAAATAAATACAGTCCTATAGTCAAACATGGTGGAGGCTCACTGATTTTTTGGGGTTGCTTTGCTGCTTCAGGCACTGGATGTCTTGACTGTGTGCATGGCATTATGAAATCTGCATACTACCAAAAGAATTCTGGAGTTCAATGTAGGGCCCAGTGTCAGAAAGTTGGGTCTCTGTCAGAGGTCATGGGTCTTACAGCAGGGCAATGACCGAAAGCACACGTCAAAAAGCACCCAGACCAAGCGCTGGAGAGTACTGCACTGGCCAGCAATGAGTCCAGATCTAAATCCCATAGAGCACCTGTGGAGAGATCTCAGAACAGCAGTTGGAAAAATGAACCGTTCCAATCTGAGAGACTTGGAGCAGTTGGCGAAAGAAGAGTGGTCCAAAATTCCTGTATAGAGGTGTAAGAAACTCATTGATGGTTACAGGAAGCCATTGATTTTAGTTATTTTTTCCAAAGGGCTGTGCTACCAAATATTAATTGAGGGTGCCAATCATTTTGTACAGTCCATTTTTGGAATTTTGCATGGAATGGGTCAGATTTGGCTTTTTTTTTCTCCACTACTTTGTGTCATACCATTACAAAGAAAAGAAATAAACATGAGAATGCCTCAACATTTGTAATTGCAATTTTCTGTGAGAAGTGGTGCAATATTTTGGCCATGACAAAGTCCAGTCAAAGCATTTAAACAAAGATCGGCCAAATTGAGACACAAACCATGCCCCTCACAGAGCATGCTATACCTTTGTGAATGATCTAATCAATATTTACTTCATATTATAAATACAAAAAGGGGCATACAGGAAACAGATGCACGTTGTTTACCCTAAACACTGCAGGCTCACACAGTACCTTCAAACCTCAAAAAAATTTAGGCATAAAACAATAAATGTAGGCATGGTGGCACTCTATAAACATTCAAGCTGAAAGGGCTATACTGTACCTCAAAGCCTGAAAATTGGGGAAAATAGGAGTAAAATAATTCTCATCGTTGGAGTCAGTGGCAGTAAGCACTCATTCACATGAGCAACAGCCGGCCCATACAGATCTGTGCTGCATGCACGGCCGTATTGGGCCGCTCCCGGGAAGGACAGATGCTGTGTGTGATTGCACGCAGCAGCCTGTCCTTCTCTATGGGTGTACGCCGACCTACGCTCACCCGAACGGATGGATCCTGTCTGCGTCCGAGCAAGGACACCGGCACCCGTACGGACGTGCTGTTCGGGTGAGCGTAGGACGGTGTACAGCCGCGTACTCCCATAGAGAAGAACAGCATTATGTGACAGCGTGTCAGGTTGGAGAGCGAGTGTTAGTAAATAATTGAGGACAGAGTATGGTTAGTATAGCCTCAATTATGAATGGATGGGAAGTGATCTACATCACCTTCTGTTCATTCATGATTGTGGATATAGTAACCATACTCTGTCCTCATGTTATGAACAGGAACACTCAGTATAGAGGATTCCTGTTCATTTAAAACCGGTGTGCAGAAAAAGAGGAGGAGATCAAGACCACAGTTCTCAATCTCTTTTTCTATTTTAAAAGGCAAATATCAGGGATCTGTTTAGATCCCCGATATTTCCCCGAAGCCCCCAACAGTAAAAATATTTAATAAAAATAAAATATAAAACAAAATTGAAAATAAATAAAACAAATAAATGAGAAAGTTAGAATAAAAAAACATTTTCGGTTTGACCTTTTTTTTCATTTCGGTTTGAAATTTTCATTTTGGTGCACCTCTAATAAATAATCATTGTACCAGGTAGTTACATCTGCCTACTTGACAATTTGGCTGCTTATTATGAAATCACCCATATAATAGGTAGCAGTGGTAGGAAAGCAATAACAGATTTGTTTTTAATGATAACTGGACTATTTACAAATGCCTGAGGAAAAAGTAAAAAGGTATTAAAATGCGATTTAGATGCAGATTACACTCACTGGCCACTTTATTTTATTAGGTACACCTGGTCAACTGCTTGTTTTAACCAAATATAACAAATCAACAACACAAATGGCAGCAACTCAATGTAAAGTTAAAACTGAGCATCAGAATGGGGTAGAAAGGCGATTTAAGTGACTTTGAGGGCCTGGTCACACCAGTTGCAGTGCGTTCCGGCCCGATCCTGGCCAGAACGCACTGACTCACATTGCGGCCGGCTCACTTTTTAGTGGGGCATGAGGGGGCCTTTGAAGTTAATGGCACCGTAGCCACGCCCTCCGGCCGCAATGTGATTGACCGCACGGGATTGCAAGGCACATTATGCCTGCGGTACGGTCAAAATAGTGCTTGCAGCATTTTGATCGCACCAGACTGGACCGCAGGCATAATGTGCCTTGCGATCCCGTGCGGTCGATCACATTGCGGCCAGAGGGCGTGGCTACAGTGCCATTCACATCAATGGTGCATTCTGGCCAGAATCGGGCCGGAACGCACTGCATCTGGTGTGAACGAGCCCTGAACGTGGCATGATTGTTGGTGCCAGATAGGCTGGTCAGAGTATTTTAGAACCTGCTGGTCTACTGAGATTTTCACACACGGCCATCTCTTGGGTTTAGAGAGAATGGACAAAAAAAAAAAAAAAAGGAGACCCTATCCAGTCAACGGCAGTTCTCTGGGCAAAAAAATGTTGATGCCAGAGTTCAGACTTGTTCAAGCTGATAGAAAAACAAGAGTAACTAAAAAAAAACCTAAAAAAAAAACACTTGTTGCAACCGCTGTATGCAGAAGAGCATCCGAGTGCACAAAACGTTGAACCTTGGAGCAGATGGGCTACAGCAGTAGACGAACACATGGGGTGCCAGGAAGAATTAAGGCAGTTCTGAAGACAAAAAAAAGGGTCCAAGCTGGTACTAGCAAGGTGTACCTAATAAAGTGGTCAGTGAGTGTATGTCCCTATAGTGTTTAAAGCCCGGCCGGCCTAAAAAGGATGTTGGCCTCTGGTCTCAAATTAAAAGTATTGCCAAGTTTAAAAAGGTTTAAGTGAAAAAAGAAAATAAAAACTCCAAAAAAACAAAAGGTAACACTTTTCCAACTATGTATCAACAGTGAAATACAACTGATGACAAATGCAAATACTGATCCCTGCAATGCGTCTTTCAGGACAACCACATGGTGGTGCTCGAACATCAAGAAAGACTTTACTGGAGAAAGAATACAAGTAGAAATGTCTCAAAGAGAAGAACAGACTTCTGGGTAAATTACATTTGTACAAGAATGCCCCACCCATTTGTGAAAGTAAAACTGCAAGGAATCCTGATAAATTGCATCTAGTGTGCAAGTGTATAATCTTAAATTTGATATTTCAGGTTTTATTTGGGTTTTACAAATAAAAACACTACAGCCTGCATCAACAGCATTTATTTAGCAAAGCATACTGGGATTTCGGATTTAGAAAGCTGCATGTTTTCAGAGAGCACCAGTGAACTGGCTATCTTAAGAGGTAGTGGTGGCGGTGATAGTGTTGGCGAGTGAAGAGAGTTGGCAATTATTAAAACCCATCAGTTTTTTTTCCTGCGTTTGATTGCAGAGATTTGCCCTAAATTCTCCCAAAAACAAAAACAGAAAGAGGAAATCCATCTGAAATGGGGGGGAATTTCCTCTTAGAATCCAGTGGCCCTTACAGTAACAAACATACAGTTTTGGACTTCTCATCACACTAACGGACAAGGGTCACCAAGAAAAATAGGGTGAATCTACCGAGAAGGGTGAATAAATGTCACCAGCACACCAGCAGTATTTCAGTCCAAAGAATGTGTCTATTGGAACGTCATGTCACCAAAACTAGCGCTTTCGGGGCCACGCAGGGTCCCCTTTATCAATCTCAGCAATGACCAGGGTCCCCTTCATCATTGCTGAGCCTGATGAAGGGGACCCTGTGTGGCCCTGAAAGCACTAGTTTTGGTGACATGACGTTCCAATAAACTAACTCTTTGGACGGCAATACTGGTGGTGTGCTGGTGACATTTATTCATCTTTAATCCATCCGCACTTCAAGCACACCCCCTCATTCAACTTTGGGTTTTATCGTTAAGGAGTGCGACAAGGTATCTTTTTGTTAGTCTACCGAGAAGGGGGCACAGAAGGCAATGAAACCTGTCAGGGGTTCTAACCATTCTATGAAACAACTGTCCTCTGTACAATACAGTTTTCACCTTATTCAATCTTTTTTGCATCTGTGTGCTGCTAATCTCCCCCAGCCTCTTTCAGGCTTGGGGAGGGAAAGGAAGGCAAGGGTTGGGGGTAATTAGCAAAGCTGAAATTTTACTTTAATATTTACCCAATTAAATTATTTTTGGAACATTAAAAACATAAAAAATACACAGACTAGGTTTATTTCAAATAATTACAAAGTTTTTGTTGAAACAAAAAGCAAATCCATGTATAGTACTGATTTTCCTAGCTGGCCTAATAATTTCAGAGCCCGAATATTCCCGAAGTCTGTGTTCTAGTTCAGCAGTGGCTGTGTGATGCTTTAAGACCAGTGGGTGGGGAATTCAATTCAAGTCCTGCCATGCAAAAATCAGTGTCGTCTCAGAAGTTCTTTGGAGAGG